ATATATTTTATATAGATTATGTGAATATATTTTATATATCTATAAAACGTGGAATATAAAATATATCACATGCATGTATATCCAGGCACCCAGGTTAGTCAGTGCACAAAATTGTGATCTCATTTGTGACAAGTGCTTTCAGACAGCTGCTGTCTTTCTTCTTAAGCAATGTCCCTGGTGGCCGTCTTTTCTTTCTCACTTATGATAAAGCCCATCACCATGTTCCATCCTTAACGGTAACATAAGGGGAGTAATTATGAGTGGAACTCACCGACTTGTGTTTGTATAGAGCATTTTAGAGGTCCGAGGCTTGGCGACAGATGTGATGTCTCCGAAGGGGTTGTCCACGTCATCAGCATTTGTGGACTGCACGTAACCACTGTTTACATGACAGGGAAAGAAAACGTGGGTTTCTTTATAAGAAAAATGGACAAAAAGATCAACAGGGTCCTAACATCCAAAGGAAATCTTATTTGCTAAAATAGATCAAAAACTGAAAAAGCAAAATAAATTAATAATAATAATAATAATCACGATGATGGAAAAATTTGCCTTAAAAAAATAAAGGCAAGAGATTTTCCCATTTTCAGAGTAACAGTTGCCAGGCCCTCATGATCTTAAGTTTGGGCCAGAGTGGGAGTAACAGGTGGGTTGTGTTTTTTGGTGCCAAGAATCAGGCTGTCTCTGCAGCCCTGGGTTGGCTCCCTCACTGGAGAAGAGGATCAAGCCTGGGGTAGGGCAGAGACCGGCATCTGCCAGAGCCACTAGGGCTCCAGCTGGGGACAGAAACTTAGTTGGAAAGACTGGTCACCTCCATCATGGAGCAGTAATGAGGGAGGGGGAGGGCAAAGGTGAAAGACCCATCTTCTTGGATTCACTTTGTTCCATGGCCCTATGATCTGAATATTTATGTTCCTCCCATATTCCTATGTTGAAATTCTAATGCCCAAAGGTGATGGTAGGAGGAGGTGGAGGGAGCAGGAGGTGGGAGGAGCTCGGATCATGAGGGTGGAGCCCTCCTGAGCGGGATTAGTGTTCTTCTAAGAACACAGAGCTCTCTTGCCCCTTCCACCCTGGAAGGACAGGTGGAGAAGCCTGGGACTCAGGAGAGAGTCCTCTCCCCGCCAGGCTGGCACCCAGATCTTGGGCTTTCAGGCTCAAGAACTGTTAGAAAGACATGTCTGTTGTTTATAAGCCACCCAGTCAGTGACATTTCAGGATAGCAGCCCAACAGACTCAAACACAAGGTTATTCCTCAACCCAAAGCGGAGAGGACCCCCACACGGTGGACGATGCAGGTCCTTGCCAACTATGGAAAGCCAAATTTAAATTTAGAAAAGTAAGAAGAGACATTTCCTGTACTTCAGTGTTAGCGAGCACATTGCATCTTCCGCATCGAGTATCAAAGCCTTTCTGGTTGACAACATCCAATATTAGTAGCACCCAGCGTATTTTACTTCGTAAAATAGCCAATTTGGGGAAACAGAAAAATACCACTCCCCCTTTCTTTCTTTTATCAAAATCGTTAACAGATCTGTGATGGAAGTCCTGACATTAAGCAGGCTGTGTGCCGGCAAAACATTAGAAATCTGTTCGAAAGTATAAGTTGTCTTAAACAGTGAATTACAAACATGAGTGAGCTGAAGGCAGCTACAATTTAGATGTAAATCTAGTAATTTTTAAGACATTTAGAAACACTCTCACTTACGTATAAAGAGGAATGTATTTGCTTCTGGAACTTGGACTCACGCTTAGAAAAAAGAGAAAATAAGGACAATGGAGTTATTGACATTAACTTAATAAGCATCAAATTATTACAGTGTTTCTCTTATTAAGAAGAGCAAAGTGTTAAGATACCTCATGGGAATTAACCTCTAAGAGTTTGTAATTTTAAACTGAGGTGATTTAAAGATGTAGTTTTAAGTGAAAATCAAAAACAGAACAAATTGACTCCAGCTCTCAAGGAGTCGGGTTTGCTCTTGGTTTGCTCTCTGTAGCCGTAATTTAGAGCCTTTCTTCTTGGCTTTCCCTTTTGCTGTACGCTTCCTTCGGGACTGGATGGGCACTATCTGGCAAAGCCGGACCCCCGATTTTCTTAGACACACGGAATTTTTATGTTGAATGGCTCCTACTGACCATCCAGTCTAACTCTCCATGGTATACAGGAAGCAGTCCAGGGCACAAAGTTCTGTGACTCACACGAGATCACAGTTATTTATAGCATCACAAGGAGCTCCGGGTTTATTTTGTATTTTCCCTGCTCCAGCCCCAGAATCGGCCATTTCTTTAGGGGTCTCAAAATTTCTTTTCTTGGAGAGTGGTGATTAAAAGCCAACATCTGGGGGCACCTGGGTGGCTCAGTCGGTGAAGCGTCTGCCTTGGGCTCAGGTCATGATCCCGGGGTCCTGGGATGGAGCCCCGGGTCTGGCTCCCCACTCAGGGGGGAGTCTGCTTCTCCCTCTGTGCATCTCCTCTCTCTCTGTCTCCCATAAATAAATAAAATCTTTAAAAAAATAAAAAATAAAAGCCGACATCTGGGTGTTGGTTATGCTTGTGGCTGCTGGGGTAGGTGTCCCTGCTCCTGGGTACTCCGAGTGGACAGAGCTGGGGATGGACACGAGTGTGGGCACCTCTACAGACCCACATGTGTGTGTGTGTTTCTGTATCTGCTATCTGTATATAAATTACAGTAAGCCTGAGTTCATAGGATCCCCCCGATCAAATCCAGTGCCACAAGGTTCATGCATAGCCTTTCTTCCTTACTTATTCGTATTTCCTCCTGACAGTGTGAAACCTGCTTCCTGTTATCTAGCAAACATTTCGTTTTGTTCAAACCCATACATGTAAGCAGTGTTAGAATCACCAACCCATTTCCCTGGGGAGATGCACGCACCATCTAGAGCACAGCACTTATATACAATTCGTTTCATCTTTAGCCTTACGTTATTCCGTCAAAATACTGTCTCCAAACTTATTTAGGACCATCCACTAAAGTGTAGTTACGTCACTGATTTGAAACATAGATTCTTTTGCCACCATCCGCATTCCATCCTGGATTCCCCCAACATCTGGCACGTATGGGTGCATATATGCATGTATTTATTTCACTTTGCATTCAGGAAAATTTGTTCTTTTTTTTATTTACAGGTTTTATTTATTTATTTGACAGAGAGAAAGAGAGAGAGCATGAGCAGGGGGGAGGAACAAGGGGAGAGGGAGAAGCAGACTCTCCACTGAGCAGGGAGCCCGATGTGGGACTCGATCCCAGGACCCCGAGATCATGACCTGAGCCGAAGGCAGACGCTTAACCAACTGAGCCACCCAGGCACCCGGTGAAGTTTGTTCTTTTTAGTGAATAGTTCTATTGGTTTCACAAATACAGAGTCAAGTAACCATATAGAGCAGTTCACTACCCTAAATGTTCCCTTTATAGGCTCTCTGTATTCATCCCTTTCCCCCTTCCCAACTCCTGGCTGCCATTGTTCTATTCCCATCCTGGTAGTTTTGCCTTTTCTAAATGTCGTATAAATGGAGTCATACAATATGTGACCCTTTGGGTCTGGCTGCTTTCACTGAGTAAAATGCAGTTAAGATTCACACACTCTGTTGTGTGTTGCATTTGGTTTTTTCATTGCTGAGTAGTATGTCATTGCATGGGTATACTCTAGTATGTTTATCCAGTATATGCTTTCCCACTGGCCTGTTGAAAGATATCTTGGTGGTTTCTAGGTTTGGGCATTATGAGTTGAGCCACATAGCCATTCGATTATAGGTTTTAGTGTGGGCTCCTAGGAGCAACATTTGCATAGAGGAAGGGTCAGGGTGAGCGGCACTCTCAAAAGCTTGGAGACATGGCAATACTGACTAAGACATACAGCTTTTCACTGATCAAATGATTTCCTATTTAAAAAGTGCAATGGGAGAAGACATCCAAATGGCCAACAGACACATGAAAAAGTGCTCAATATCGCTCAGCATCAGGGAAATCCAGATCAAAACCTCAATGAGATACCACCTCACACCAGTCAGAATGGCTAAAATTAACAAGTCAGGAAACGACAGATGTTGGCGGGGATGCAGAGAAAGGGGAACCCTCCTACACTGTTGGTGGGAATGCAAGCTGGTGCAGCCACTCTGGAAAAC